AGACGGGCAGAGAGAAAATAAAATAAATGTGTGTTTTGTGTAAGTTTGGAGCAGACAACGCAAACAACCGCAGGCATGGTCCCATAATAGTGCAGGATGTTAAATTAGTTATCTCGTGTGAGCGCTGATAGGAGCCCGCCCTGCTGATGCACATCACTGAACACTGAATTAAAGTAAATAGAACCTATTTCCTTGTGCGCACACTACAGTATTTCCTTTGTTCTGCGTTTTAGCCTGCCAAATGGAGTCGCATCCATAACGACATCGCTTTTCATTTCAGCCCCAGACCTCGTGGCACTTTGAGATTGCGTCTGTGTGCAGGCTGGTGTAAATAGATTGTTTTTATACCTGCGTAGTTACTGAGACCCTTCCTCTTCTTTCTCCTCCAGTAAAGCCAGGCACTGAAGCCCATGAGAACGATCCAGCAGGCCCCTCCCAGTCCTGCGATGAAGGCGGGCTGCTTCACCACGTCAGAGATGCTGTTGTTCCCCTCTGATCCAGTCATTACGTCCTGGAGCTCGGCACCTGGGGGCATAGTAAAAAACACAATCAAAGTCAATGGATTTTAGCATAAAGCAGGAACACACAAAGCCAGCATGTGATTTCATTGCGCAAAATGAATCCCTCAGACTGTTCCTTTTGTCCTACGATTATCTTACTCTTCTTTTCATCATTACAAAACAGAAATAGCCGAAATAATGTTTGTTCAATAGCTCATATTGATGGACACTGTATGGATTTAGTAAATGATTGCGATTAACAGTAATAAAGAAACTACTAAATTCATGTGTACCTAATTTTTAAAGCACAAACACTGAACATTGTGAAAAAATCCATGTAACCTATTCCTCAAAACAGTTCAGTTTTATCACTGATCTTCATAGTGAAAAAGAGGACCAGCCCTCACTCGGCCAATCAGCTCTCAGTATGTAAATGATATCATAAACTCACTGTAGTCTGATTTGTTCACAAACTATTACCTTAACAAGACTATTCTGTTGGGACAAACAACATGTATTTAAGAAGCAGAAGGAAAAAAAGTGTCATACTCCAGCTTTAAAACGCCTGATACGACTACAATGAAGCAAGATTATCCTAAAAGAGCATTTGAATGTATTAAAGCCTATCATTAAAAACTCTGTTATCTATACAGCTAAATATACCTAGTTTTTCATAGAAAAAAAGCAAAAAGATAGCCAAAATATTTGAAAAATATTGCAAATATTGAGACCCAATCAAGCCATCTTGAATTCTTACAAGATGGCGCCTCGTACGGTCGACATGGCTCTTTGCTGCTCTCTTTTTCTTTTGTTTTTACTTTTTAACTGTGCATCTGGCTGTTCCTACACCCGTGAGGAACTTATGAACATCCGACCCACCGTTCCCATGGACCTATTGCCTGTTTTCTTGGCATCTGCGGCTGATTTAGTTCATGTTCTAGCCAAAAAAGTGTGGGCCCGTAAAAGGGGAAAGCGAGGAGGCCTGCTCGTGCGTCTTAGGAGGAGAGGAGCGCGCACGGCTCTCCCCGGCATTTTTCTCTCCAACGTACGCTCACTGGGCAATAAGATGGACGAACTCAGCCTGCTCATGAGAAGAAACAAGGACTTCGCCACATCCTGTGTCCTCTGCTTCACTGAGACCTGGCTAAATGAGCGGATCCCGGACTGCGCTCTGGAGCTGCAGGGCTTTGGGCTGTTCCGCGCGGATCGCCATTGTGCGCTCTCAGGGAAGAGCAGAGGCGGAGGGCTGTGTTTCTACGTCAATACAAACTGGTGTAACGATGTGACAGTGATCTCCAAGCACTGCTCTCCTGCTCTGGAATATCTTTTCATTCATTGTAAACCATATTACTCCCCGCGGGAAATTGTTTCATTCATTCTTGCCTCTGTTTACATACCGCCATGCGCGGACGCGCGCGAGGCTCAGCGCGCACTCGCAGAGCAAGTACTGTGTATGGAACGCTTATACCCGGACTCTCTGATTATTATCCTGGGGGATTTTAATAAGGGAAACTTGAGCCAGGAATTACCCAAATACAGACAGTTTATCAAATGCCCGACCAGAGAGGAGAACACTCTGGATCACTGTTACACCACCGTGCGCGGAGCTTTTCGCGCTGTTCCCAAGCCAGCCCTCGGCTTCTCAGATCACTCCATGATACATCTGGTTCCTGCTTACAGACAGAGACTAAAGCTCTCGAAACCTGCAGTGAGGAGCTCCAAAGTGTGGTCTGATGAAGCTGTGGAAGAGCTGCGCGCATGCATGGAATCTACAGACTGGGACCTTTTCAGAGCTGCCACAGATAGTTTGGATGAATATACGGACACTGTGACGTCATACATTCACTTCTGTGAGGATAGCATCATTCCAACAAGGACCAGGGTCATCTATAACAACGACAAACCCTGGTTCACTGCTAAACTCCGGCAGCTCAGGAAAGCAAAGGAGTCTGCTTTCAGGGAGGGGGACCGCAGCGGCTACAAAGCAGCTAAATATCAGTTCAGGAAAGAACTGAAAGCAGCCAAGTCCCGGCACAGAGAACGACTACAGGAGCAGTTTGGTAACAACGATACTGCTTCTGTCTGGAGGGGCCTACGGGAGATCACCAACTACAAACCCAAAGCCCCCCCCTGTGCTGATGACCACAAGCTAGCTGACGATCTGAACTTATTTTTCAGTCGCTTTGATGCTGCCCCTGACACCTCTCCCTCCCCCCCCCCCCACTACTCTAACGACCCACCCATCAGCCCTGCCCCCAGCCTAACAATAGCCGCTAAAGAGATTAAACAACTCTTCCTGAGGCTGCACCCCCGCAAAGCTCCTGGCCCGGACCACGTGTCTCCGGCCACTCTGAGACACTGCGCCAGTGAGCTTACTCCTGTGTTCACGGACATTTTCAACACCTCTCTGCAGTCCTGCCATGTCCCGGCCTGCTTCAAATCCTCCATCATTGTCCCCGTCCCGAAGAAGCCCAGGATCACAGGACTCAATGACTACAGACCTGTAGCACTTACGTCTGTCGTCATGAAGTCATTTGAACGCCTGGTTCTCTCCCATCTCAAGTCCCTCACCTCCCCCCTCCTGGACCCCCTGCAGTTCGCCTACAGAGCCAACAGATCTGTAGACGACGCCATTAACCTGGCCCTCCACCACATCCTACAGCACCTGGACTCCCCGGGGACCTACGCCAGGGTCCTGTCCGTGGACTTCAGCTCTGCCTTCAACACAATCCTGCCATCCCTGCTCCAGGACAAGCTCTCCCAGCTCAACGTGCCCGATTCCACCTGCAGGTGGATCACTGACTTCCTGACGGACAGGAAGCAGCGAGTGCGTCTGGGGAAGAATGTCTCGGACTCTCGGATTATAAATACAGGAGCCCCACAGGGCTGTGTTCTTTCTCCCCTGCTCTTCTCCCTGTACACCAACCACTGCACCTCCAGCCACGACTCCGTGAAGCTGATCAAGTTCGCGGACGACACCACCCTCATTGGACTCATCTCCAACAACGATGAGTCCGCCTACAGGAGGGAGGTGGACCGGCTGGTGTCCTGGTGCAGTGGTAACAACCTGGAGCTGAACGCCCAGAAGACAGTGGAGATGATTGTGGACTTCAGGAAGAGCACTGTCCCCCCGCCCCCACCCTCCGTGATGGACTCCCCCATCACCTCTGTGGAGTCCTTCCGTTTCCTGGGCACCACCATCACCCAGGACCTCAAGTGGGAGCCGACCATCAGCTCCCTCATCAAGAAGGCCCAGCAGAGGATGTACTTCCTGCGGCAGCTCAGGAAAGCCAAGCTGCCTGCACAGATGTTGGTGCAGTTCTACACGGCCATCATCGAGTCCATCCTCACCTCCTCCATCACCGTGTGGTTCGCTGGAGCCACAGTCAGGGACAAACAGAGACTACAGCGCATTGTGCGCTCTGCAGAGGAAGTGATCGGCCGCAGCCTTCCATCGCTGCAGGACCTGTACGTCGCCCGAGCTCGAGGCCGGGCTGGTCGTATCACAGCCGACCCCTCTCACCCTGCACATGGACTATTCCAACCACTCCCCTCAGGCAGGAGGCTGCGGTCCATCAGGACTAGAACCTCCCGCCACAAGAACAGTTTCTTCCCCTCTGCTGTTGGACTCTTGAACACTTCTTAACCTGTCCCCCCGCCCTTTATAAAGTCACTTTACTGCCCATCATACGTCACTTTACTTCACTGTACTGCTGTCACCTTACATTGTGTGCACCATGTGCACTTGTATATTGTAAATAGTAACTGTAACTCTATTTTAAATTTAAATTTATTCTTTAGAAGTGTTTTTTATTCTTATTTTTATTATCTCTTTTTGACTGTTGCACTGAGCCAAAGCAATTTCCAAGTCTGTGACCTCCCGTTACTTACGTTGGCAATAAAAATGATTCTGATTCTGATTCTGTATTGTTTTATCCATCAATTGTTGTATTCATTGTGACAGGCAAAACTAAAAAATACAAATTCATATATTAATACTTTGAGCCCAATATCTTTATCCAAATAGTATATGTAGTGGTATGTGCATCTCAAAAGTTCAATAATAAGATAAAAACCCTGTTAAGCACATTACCCAATCCTCAGCGTGACATTACACATAAACCCAAACATGACGGGAGGTCGACTGTGGTTAAACCCAAAAATGGCAATGGTGCATCCAATACGTACGCAGAGTTAATCAATTCAGCACTGCACTTATCAACTTGAGCTGCTAGACATGAGATTGACAGAGCGGCCCTGACAGACTTTGATTTTCTGTTGCGGCTACTGTGCTGTGAAATTAGATTCACAGTCTCCAGCAGGACCCCCCCCACCCTACCCGCTCTGCAATCCCCCCAGCCCCGTCATTAAGCTCTGGGTCCGTGGGCTTGCGTGTTCCCCTTTGCCTCATGTGGTACTGCTGTTATTAAATATCAGTCAAAAGTCGCACAAGAAGAAGCGCATCTGGCTCTGGACAGTGATATTGATTCTGGGCTTATATGATTTGAGCATTCTTTAGGTGTTGGATAAGATGTGATAGGCTGATAAACTCCCTGCAAAAACATTGTCTACTTTGTTAGTGGCACATGCCCACATATTGAAGGATTATTGATATGGCCAACAGTACTTGGCGCTGTGTTACCAGACACTACACTTTAATGAACTGCTATTGATTTCTCCCTGGACGTCTGCCTTGTAATGTGCAATCTTCTTTTCTCCAAGTGCGATAAATTGATAAATCATTTTTCCAGACCCCCCACTGTGTTGGGAGAGGCCTATAGGAGCACTATTATTAGGTCATTCTATTTGACTCCAGGTGGGGCGTATGTGAGTGGATTACCCAGGATGATGAGCTGGGGTTTGCTCTTGACCCCCACTCCAGCGCTGGTCCCTGCCGCCACTTCCACGCGATACTGCACTCCAGTCTGCAAACCCCCCAGCACCACTGAACGGATGGTTGCGTCCACACTTTTGTTGACATGGAAGCGGGTTTCGTTGGCCAAACACCAGATCTGGCAAAGACAAGTAAACAGGCATTGCAGAGATCGGAGATTGAGTTTTTTGCTTAAATATTCAGGTCGGAGTTGCGTTACTTTGTACTCTTGGATGATGCCGTTCTGTTCGTCTGAAGGAGGGGGGTCCCAGGATACACTGATAGATGTGCTGTTGTGGTTGCCCACTGTCAACACCGCCACTTGCTGGGGAGGGGCACCAGGGGCTAGAACAAAAGAAGAATGTATTTTTAGGATGCATAAAAGAAAAAAAATAGGTTTCAAGTCTAGTGCATCAAGCTTGTTTGGGAATAATGAGTGGTTAATTATTGTGTCTCTAGTCAATAGTATACACTATTGTGTGAATCTCAGCTGGACTATCCTGGTTAAATAAACGTCAACAACAAGAGTGGGCAATACATCTCAAAAGATTGATATTATGTATTTTTATCTAATATTCCTCTTTCCCCGCCCCTCCAGCCATCCATACCATGCCTCCTTGTCTACTCCTCATTACCCAGAAGGTTTCGTTCCCCATGTGACATAATATAATTGTTTCGACAACACATCTCGGTGCTTTCTACATTCAATCATTAACACATTTTTTTCTTTTTTTATCAAAAGAATTAGAAAATAAACATTGTAGACTACACTTTTGTCACAACAGAAGAATAGATTTGGATCAAGTTTATTGTTGTAAGGGCTGCAGGTATCGATTAGTTTAGTAATTAAGGGAGCTATCGATTATACCATTGATTTATCAAGTAATCTATAAACTTGTTTTTCACTTCAGACAAAGCATTACTATATATGTTTTATTACAAAAGCAAAAAAACACATTAATAGTTTCTGTGTGAGAGCTTAACCAGTTTCAAAAACAGTATATTGTCTTCGGTGCAGGATAGCGCCACGCAGAAATAGCTCCGTGTGAAACAGTTAGTTCTGCGTGCCACACTATCACAGGATTTTAATCAAATATAAAACAATACTGAAAAATATGGGGAAATTGAATTGTTAATGAAGCTTTTTTTGTTATAGAATCATCTCCATCCCGAATTCTCGAGTTGCATGTCGTCATAAACACATGCATAATTATAATGACATGCAACTCGAGAATACACCTAAAAATGGAATAGCAATTTAGAAGACCAATGGGTGCATGTTTAAAAATGAAAAATGTAACTTTCAAATGCATTCACACAGAGTGAACAATGGAACAATGTATTTTCACAGCCAGTGCGGCAGATGGCTCCTACTTCATCTCCATTTCCTATCATCTCTGCAGAGCATTTGTCTAAACCAGGAGGCATCAGCAGAAACTGGATTTTTTTCTCCTTTGAATAATTTACACATTCTGTTTTTTTAAAGCACTATAGATGAACTCAAGACAGTGTTTAACCAATAGAATTACCTGTTCAAAATAAACCTGCAAATCACATAAAATTAGCATATTTTCTTGCAGGTCTGAAATCACCACCTATAATGAATTTGTAGTAATATGAACACCGGCACACTGCATGCAAAATAGCCTATTCTAATCCTGCAGATCTTGAGAATGGTCAACGATCAATCCACCCATGCAATAATGAGGACTCGAGAACGGTTTTTGCTCATAAATGGGTTATTTTGGCCTCAATCGCTAAATTCCAGGTCTCCTTTTAATATGCCATTTTTAAACACAGCCACAATAGACTAATGACGAAATTTGATTTCTGCACAAAGCAATGATAACGACAATTGTTATTTCTCTGTGAATAGACTAATGAAACTGAGTGATAATCCACACTATTCCCATAATAACGCTGCAAGAAAATTGATAACATGACTTTCTAGACTCAATAAAAATGCAACAGCAAATATGTGTAGAAGCAGCATATTCAGTGAGTGGAAGTCATAGCAGGTGGGCCATAATGGAGCAGTCTCTGGTCCACTTGGCGAGGGAAAAACAACATGTTGGTGTGAGCTGAAGCTCCCAGATGGGTTTGGTTCTCTAAATGGCTGAAGACAAATGTACTGAACATGTGTGTGCTGTCTCATTGTGAAAACAGTAAGTGGTGGAGAAATGGGCCACACTGACGTGACGTGAAGACAAAGGAAGTTAGTTTAAACACCATGCTTTGTAAGACCTTGTCATAGTGTAAAACGTATGTGAAAAATTATGATGAAAATATGCTGTAATTGTTGCACATATCAATCTCATCAGTTAGTGTAGATGTCCGAGACAAAACACAAGGTTAGTTTACCTTGAAGCTGCACACAACACATACTTTTGCTCTTAGAAATAACATAAAAAGTGCTTACAGGGTCAAAGTATTTGAAAAAGAATGACATTGAACTTGCTCGGTATCGGACATAATGTATCTAATGATAAATGTTGGTGGGAAGTGGAGGACAGGTTTGCTGGCGTTTTGATTTCACTTGTGCTGTTTCAGCAGAGCGATGGGGCTTGTCCACTCTGTTAAAGGTTTACATTAGGAGAAGACAGGAACCATTAAGCATACTTCTGCTATTTCCATATGTAAAACCATCCCAGAGGACAAATAATGACTGCATTACCCGTAATGACTCAGGATAACATTACTACAAACCGTCCCCACATCTTCATAGGAGAGGACTTCATCTGACTTTTTCCACTATTGACACAAACTTATATTAGCTAACAGCTCTAAATCACAATAGTTTCACGACAGCACTGGCTACATCAGGGCTCCAGTCCACAAACCTTTGTTTTGTAAAACTAACTCGCTTCGGTGCACATTTTACACATTTTACAGTATCAGGAATTTGACCTATACTCTACAATTGTTACTCTACAATTGTACTCCACTATCGTTTATTAAGGAATTCATTAGTTCTTCCTCAATTAACCCTGAAAGATTAATTCAAAGATTTAAAACTAAATAATAGTTTCTAATGGTATGTCGGTGAATGTTTATCTTGCATCTTTCAGAGGGCCGTCTTTCAAACATCGCCCATGTGAACCGCAGGGCAATCCCTTTCCTTTGACCGCATTATGGTGACAGCAGCATCACACCGCATCCTGCTTTTGTCCATTTTCTATCACAGCCAGACCCAGGCCCGAGTTATGAGAGCCATTAATCAACGTCGGTGGCTCCTCATCCATCCCGAGCACAACGCAGAGAAAAACATCAGTTGTTTTGACCCTTTGAACTCCAGGGACTCCCTTTCCTATGGTTACCAGCGCTCACACAAAAAACTACTTTGATGGAGCAGGACTGCTGTGGAAATCTGCTGTCCGGCACATTTCAGACGCAGGAGTACTAGTAGATCAAACCAATTACTGCCAAACCGCAAAGCCTTATTTTTAGGATCTGCAAATAGAGAGAGCTGCCCCACCCACAAAGACCTCCAGTGGTCCTTCTTGGGTAAAACTAATTGGACAATGTTGAGAATTTCTTTTTATCCGTGGGTTGAAGAGAAGATGTTGCTTTGTGCGGCTTCCATCAAATGTCTGTGATCCTGGGGATTAGTCTTGTGAATGATTCAGTGGCTGCTATTCTGATCTCTGCAATGTGCTGGAGCTTCACACACTGGCATTCACGAGTCCTTTCTGATCTGTTGTGCTGTTGTTTCAGACAAAGTTAACTGTTGAAATTTCTGCTTGTGTACAGGAAAATAAAATAATGTGTTTTGGATGACACTCATGAATGGGCGCCACTTTAAAGTCATAAGTAATCAAATTAATGGTTAATGTCATAATCCTATCCCAATCCAACATACTGGATAAAACATACAGTGAGATGGAACCAAGAAAATTATTAAAACATGATGGCGATTGCGTCCAAACACCTAACAAAGACGACGGAATACACTAAACATAAACAGGAGGTTCTAAAGTTGATTAACACTTTAGCGTCACATTAAAGGTCAAATCTGTGTTTATTCATTGTCAGCTTCCATCAGGTCGTCATACTGTCATAACTTCTAATGGGAAAGGCAAAAAAGTTCCCCATTTGAACGTGGTCAGGTCCTGTCGCAAGCACAAAGGCGGGTCAGTCATTCAGGATTTCTAAAATGATTCTGAACAATAATGGAACTTCAAAAGCATGACAAAGGACATCCTCAGGAGAATAACGTTACACTTTTTGACCCTGTGAGAAACGCTTCAGTCAAACACGCCACAACAAATGTTTGAAGTGATCAACAATAACAGTGCAGCTACCAACATGAACATTGATTTGTGTGGTTTTACAGATCTATTTAGGTTTCAGAGTTTTTCTTTGCCGATGCAGGAGGGTCTCTCAGACTGTTAGAGGGTCTAATGAAGAAGGACTGTGGTGATTATCCAGGACACTCAACATTCAACAACATTTATAGACGGACATTTGTCATCCGCCCCTTATGGACCAATGGCTCTATGTGTTTTTATAGTTGCATTTCTTGTCTAGAACTGTTGACTCTCTGATCTGTGTTGGCGAAATCAACGGTTTTGTAAAGTCCTCCGAGATAACTAATGTTGTGATTTAGGGCTATACAACAACAAAATGAATTGAATTGAATTGGAGGTTTGGTCTTTTACTATTGATCAGCTGACAATTGTGCATTTGAATTGTTATTAAAACACATTGCTTGCTCAGTTTTGTTTTTATTCTCACTTTCTTCTTGTTGCTTATTAACGCTCTAATTGGAACCCTATCAAGAAACTGGATTTTCAGGTGGTTCTATAATCTTTGATTGGGACTGTATTACGCTACGAGAAGGATTCCAATGGAAGCTGGCAGTCAAGTCAATGCCCTCTGATGAATTGTTCTCCTTCCCGTGTGGAGTGGGTGGGACTTAAGTGGGCTGCACGCTGCACGTATTGGAAATCGAGAAGAGTGAGAGTTGGGGAACATAATATAAGCCTGCCTGGTGTGTGACAGCACAGTGACGGCGGGGGGCCGCAAAGAAACCAGGAGAGAGTTGAGTCAGTGTCAAAAAAGACAGTTTGTACCATCCTCTCCATCGCCCACAAGCTCACAAGACCCAGGACTGTCACAGACCCCTGGAGCAAAGCATTCTGGGAGACCTGTTTCTGCACACAGGGGAGGTGGCACTGCGGCGCTCAGCTTGTGTGGGTGGAAGCACTTGAAACGCCATTATCTATAACAATCCAGCCAGCCAGCTATTTTACAAGCCACTAAAGAGGCAAACCGAGACGGGTAAATAAGTAATAAGTAAGTAAGTGAGTAATCCTTATTTATATAGCACATTTCACAAAACAGAATCATTATGAGAGACATACGTCCACTTGTCTCATCAGGGAAGTTATCAACTTGTCTAAAATGTATGGCATTTATCTTTTCTATCTGCTCTGAGGAGTAGTAGCTGATGATGTTTTTGTGTGTGTGTAATTGAATAAAAACGTACAGTGGAACATTCCATTTGACGCATGAACAGAGACATAATAATACAAAAAAAAATAATGCATTGGTTTAATATAGCGCTTTTTCGGTCACTCAAATACGCTTCACATGTCATTATTCTTTCACTTCATACACAGTGGTGATAAAATACTATTTTAGCCACAGCTGCCCTGGGACTCACTGACTGCCGCGCTCCGACCACCACCAACCATTCACACACACATTCTAGGCAATGTGGGTGAAGTGTCTTGTCTAAGGACATAACAACAATTTGGCACTTTACAGCCACAGCCACTCCACTGTGCCACCTGGTGTTCCCAGAGGTCTCCCATCACAGTACTAACCAGGTCCTGCATTGCACAGCTTCAGAGATCTGACGGGATATGGCTTTTGCATGCAAGTATGACCACATATTATAACTAGAGATGTGCCCACATGAAAACAAAGCCTTTGAGAACTCAGATTACAGCCACATATGCATAAGTGCAAATGCTGGTTACCTTCCTCCATGGTCCGAGCCGTCATGGACTCACTGTCGGCGCCCAGGAACTCGTTGAAGTATGGCCGCACTTTTATCTCGTACACGATGCCTTTCTTGAGCCCGCTCAAAGTGATGTCTCTCTCAGAAGCGACCTTCACGTCCTGAATCTGCCACGGCCCCGGGGAGGGAAGTCCTGATGTCTGCCGGAACAACACGCGGTAGCCTTGGATAAACTGCGATGGATTTTCCACCTGGCAACAAAAGATAGGGTCAAAAATTAAGACATTTGTCGCTTTTACTGAAATTTTCCACAGCATGACTTGCAACGTGTGTATTCATGCCACCGACTATGCTATACTACCATAAATATACGGCAATAATATAAGTGTATTATATTTACTGAAGACTTTCCAGTAGAAAGTACACCATTACAATTCAATTCAATGTATTCTTGTATCGCCCTACATCAAAACAGTAGTTATCTCTAAGGACTTTACACAACTGCTGATTTTGACAACATAGATCAGATCACAGAATCAAACACAAGACATAGAACAGAAAACACATTGATATTGGTCCATAAAGGGCAGATGACCAATGTCCATAAGTGTTAATAAAAGTGTCCACCGTCCACTAGCTTTAAAGATTCCACATATGGTCTGAATCCATGGCAATAATGTTTTACTTATGATATCTTTTCTGATATTACTGAAAATTTAAAAAGAATATAACATCTATTGATTCATATTCAAGAGTGTTTAAATTAAATTATTCTATAAACAATTACAACTAGAGCATATCTCAAAATTGGAATATTGTGAAGGAATCAACATGTAGAGTATTTGAGGACGAAGAAGACTGAATGCATTTATTGTACATCTGCCCTGTGTCTAGCAAAGATTTGGGACTCAATTGCGTAGAAAAAATGATTTAGAATTGAAATATATTGATTTATTGACAGATCCTATAGACATAATACTGTTTTTTTTAATCAAAACTCTATTCATAGAAGTTGCAATCTTGATAGGAAAATTAAAATTAACATTAACATTAACATTAATTCACCAAAGTAAATCAAAGATGGACTTTAGGAACAAATGAAACATGAAAATGAAAGAAAGAGTGAATCAAACATTAGAACGTCAAAAGAAATGGAATGAATTATCATGGGACAAACATGAAATACTGAAACGATTCTAAAAGTCTGAATGGAAATGCATACTGTGGGAATTGTGTTTTATTTGTCAGTGTTTGTCAATGTCATGAGTGTGTGTGTGTGTGTGTGTCTGGATGGAATGTTTTAGTAGAGAATGTGTGTGTGGGTGTCTGGGAGTGTCAGTATGCAAATGTATGTATGTATGTTTGAATGTTATGCTGAGTCATATTATGTTGGGCAGGTTTGGGGAAGTATTTTTTGCCCTAAAAATATTACTGTTTTACCATTACGGGAATCCTGCATCATACGGATTTGCATCATGCTTATTTGTTTACTTAATCATCTTTTCATGGATTTCTTTCATGCTTCTTGCCAGTGGAAAGGACAAACTTGAACTCATCTCAGAGTTGCATCCACAAGAGCAGGAGAGAGGTTATTATTAGCGGTGCTCTTAAAACTAAACAAATCACTTTTGAACAGCTGGCAGCTTTAATTGTGTGTTACACGACTTGATGACTAAGGCTGTGTACTTACTTTGCAAACCCCGTGCTAATGGTATAGTAAATGCACTCTGCTAATACAACCAGTGAATTTTAATTACACACCTCTGACATCTAAAAAGCATGTGGCCATCAATACTGTCTGACATTTGTTTGTTTGCAAGCGACAAGGAATAAAAAAACGATTGGGAAATATATGGTGATGTAACTCGCTATAAAACAACTAGCAACAGCAATATCAGTGTCGGGGCAAAATAATGGGGAGTTATTCTGTATCTATAATTGAGTTGTCACTGTTCTGGGCAAGGATGTGGCCGCTGTCATTGAGAGACTATTTGTGTGAACATGTATCATTTAGAAAGAAGCAGCGAGAGTCAACGCCGGACGTCTGTCCAAGATGTACGCCAGACAAACAGGAAACGTATGAGACAAGGTTCAAAGGTGACAACACATGAAAGGAATAGACATTTACGATGGTTTCTAAAGAGACAAATACATACACAATGCTCACAACTAATGGCTCAGTGTTTTTATTAACTTGTCTATATCAGAAGAAAGTTAACATAAAAGCTAACATGTGGGTCTGCTATGTTATCTGAATCAGAAAGCCCTCATTCAATCTGCCCTTAAAATGTGTTATTTGTGTTGCAATTACCATCTAGCATAATAATACTTTGACTTACTCATTAGTATACATTATAATTCAAATATATTTCATGACATTTCAGAGCATGCACGACACAAAACATCCAGAGGGAAATAAAGACCTTTTTAAAACCACAAACCAAAAATAACATCCATTTATATGGACAACTTTTGATTTACGACAGCAAACAAGAGCATGAACGTGTCACCTAGAAATAGCATCAGGCAGAATAACCCATGGTTCAGATTAACTAAGAACACAGGATAGGTGGAATGAAAGTGTGTGGACGCTGGAGTGACAAGCATGAAATAGCAGAGCGTTGTAAGTACATCCGCGGTGTGTCATGGCCCCCGAGCAGCAGCAGTGGGACACCTTGCCAACAGACACAAAATAACATTTGCCAGATAAAGGGGTCTGCCTCCACAAGTGACACATGTAACGCCTAATGGTGATGTATTGGTCCTGAGCAGAGACATAAGTCTTAATTCCGACATCACCCAAAACCATTGGAAATTGACTTAGCAGCAGCTGTTCAAACTGGATGTGTACAGCAGGTGTGTGCCAGCTAATCCCAAGCAGTGGCACGTGCCAAAGTAAAAAGTTCTCCAAACAAGCTTACGGGGGGATTTGTTTTTGGTGGTCTGAAATGACACAAACAAATAGGTCTTTGAAACAGTTTAGGTTGAGATACTCACAGTCCATGTGACCTGCACTGTAGTGGAGCTAAGCACCACAGGGTTGTGCATGCTGACCACTACATCTCCCAGCTCCTTCTGCACTCGCCGGTGGTCCACGCCCTGAGCTGGGGGGCTGATATCTGAAAAGGGCACATTGTTTCACTAATTAAAGGTTATAAAGCATTACAGGATGTACTACAAATACTTTGAGAGTCCAGTTTGCACCTTAAAACATGACAAAGTAGAACAGTGAATACAAGTCTAGTGCATGATTCAATATAGATGTAAAACAAACTGTACATTTTGATTATATATATATATATATTAATATACATATATATTAAGTTTGTTCTGTCATACTGACTACCAACACTATCAATACTAACAACTGGCTCACACCAGAATGACACCTCAGTGTGGTCGTGCAGTGGTTTTGCTGGTACTCTGAGGTGCTGCAGTCTCTGGTGGTTATAGTTCTTTGAAGTCCTGTTCAAGAGACCACGTGTTGTTGCAGTAACTGCATAAATTAACTGTGGCGTGCAATCAAAAATAGCTTCCAACTGAATGGATCAGTAGCTCAGTAGCTTCTCCGCCCGTACCTCTGTGCGGTGTGAAACCCTTCATTACCATCATTCAACAGAAATTCTGTGGTCACTGAAAAGCTCAGCAGTTGCACTGATGTTACAGACAGTGTGAGACGAAGGTTAACACTCAAACATTTTTATCTGACATAAATTTCTTAGAACACACAGTTTATATCTCAATCTATATAAAAAGACCGTGTAGCTTTACCTTGTGTCCGGACAGGCTCAGACATAGGACTGGGGTCTCCCAGCCCTTGTGTGTTGACCGCTCTGATGATGAACAGATAAACAGTATTGGGCCGAAGATCTCGAACTGTGAGCTCAGTGGTTTTCACATGGTCTGCAACTGTCTGCCAGCTGTTGCTCACAGACTGTCTGTAAAAGACAACACAAAAAAAGTTCTTAGTGGAAACACATAAAGATAAACCAAAACTCATTGATGGAATCCAGCAGACAACAAAATGGCCTTTGGGGAAACATTGATGTGCCTGCGCTTCAGCTGAAGTTTATTGATTATCTCATTTTTTGCTTGTTTTATAAGCCACAATAGCCAGACACAGTCATCAATATAATATGTTTGGATTCATTTTAGAAGGGGTGTGTCATCCATATTTTTATGCAGCTGCTGTTTTGAAAGTCCATAAATGAATTATTAAAGGGTTCAGAATATGCTGCTTGCTTGAATGCCCACACAGACACCCACATCTGCTCCCGCCATGCACATTCGGGGTCACCACATAGAGCTGCAGGCCATAGGTCGCAGACATACCCAAAGGCCTCGATGACATAGGAGGACACCGGGGAGCTTGCCTCTGGACCCTGTTCCCATGACAATGAGATGCTGCTCTTGGTAACATCAGTGACCTCTGGCTTTGAGGGTGGACCAGGGAGAGCCGTGGCGTTGTGGGTCATGAAGTCTATGAGATCAGTTGATTCTGCAAAAGAAATTATATCTAATATGATAATGATGGAAGAGGGCAGAGGAAGTGGGTTTAATTTAAATTAATGTAAAAGTAATGAGTAATATGTTGAATATTAATAACATCTTTAGCACAGACCTCTGACATCCAAGTAGGCACTCCACGAGGTTTCACCACTCGAGCTGGTCGCCACACAGGTGTACAGTCCAGAGTCAGACAGCTGCAAAATACACACAACTGTTCATTCCACTGCATTTTACACAGAAACAAGCCCTCCAGTATTGTGATATTTTCAAACACACAATCATTTGTGACAAGAGTATAGGCAATAATTGTATTCAATGTTTCTGAGGGAATGACATCAAGCTTCTATTTTACATAAAATACCTCTGCGGGAGTAATTGCTTTTCAATTACATGCACCTGTCTATACTTTCTTTGTACCCCTCCAGCCATGTGACACAGGCAATACGTTTTAAAGAAAAAAATACATTTTGCATCATTTTTATCCATTGACAATGAAAATGTGACTATTTACTTTGTTTGCATGTTTTTCAATGAGGAAAATGCAAATCTTCACTAGAAAATATATGGTGCAACAAGTTTCAAGGGTAAAACATGCTTTCTGCCTGTAACTCCTTATGCTGCCACCAGAGGGAGGAGCTGGATTTTATTTGTGTTTTGCTAAACTCGAAAATTAGTATAGTGACTATGTTTTCAATTTGAAATTCAGAAATCTGCTCTTATTGTGATTGTGATATGATACTATTACTGAGACATGAGCATTCAGAGAGAAGCACGAATGCATCTAAAAACAACTCCAGGTCTGTTTTTTGACAAGGAACAATATATATTTTTCACAATATGTCTCCTTTCAAACAAAACTAACAAAACAACGGCATGTTCTGACAAAAAAAACTCTTTTGGACTAAAACATTTGGTGCATTCCCAGACATAACAACTCTCTCCAAACCCTAATCGTATCGGACTTTACACGGGGGATGTGTTGCAGACAGCATCCTCGAGTCTTTGCACCAGTCTGATCCCACATAGATTCTACAAGCTCATACGTCAGCTGGGGGCTTTTGAAGGAGGCCCACAGTTTCCCCAACAGTAAAAGTGCATTAACCTTCATTGGCCTGCATTTGGCTCGAGAATCGCTGCGAGAGTGGATGAGGAGAGGGGAACTTTAACACCGATGAAAAAAAAGAAAACATAAGAGCTAACATTAATTTTCTTAATTGATTTCATCTTGTAATAGTCAGCCCCCATTTTCGAAGCCATCAACATTACCATCACTGCTGCTGACACAGGATATAAGAGATGGCCCGATCTATTCTATATCGGCGCCGTATAGAGGACCCTCATGACTGCCTTATCTCTCTGATAGAAAGCAGCGACACCAGGCTGGCACTTTGACACAGGGAGGACGCCATATATTGCATCTCTTCAATATATTTCCTCACTTCTCCCCGTGGTTCCTGTCCTTGACTTGATCTGCTACCTCTGAGATTTTGAAATTCGAGACAGGATAGCGGCATTTAACGACTTATAAAAATCAATATTTCCCATTCATCTTTTAAAGGCAACTCGACTGCACCTGTCTATTCACATTAGACTTGCTCGACATGGATGGGCAGATGAGAGCGGTTTCCTTCCTTTGAGACGAGCAATAGGATGACAAACATGCAACACGCAAATCTGTCGACATGCAATGCGTTTATGCCGTTTTCATTCTTCACTGCGCCTTTATTGACAGCAAAGTGAAGAGAAAGTGGGCAATCAAAGAAATGAAGTCTTGTACAGAACGTTGTCAGTGAAAATAGTATAGTAGTGTCTATACTAATCGAATAGAAGTGAAGGTCAGTCACTTTTCAACATATAAAGATGAAGAGATGTGTTTTGAATGCAAGCACTATTTGGACCCGCCCCCACGGGTTCCTGATTGGATGCACTGAAATCAAATTATGGAAAACAGAGGCCCCTAGACCCATTGATCTAACTATTCTCCTCCACCAATTCTCACTGGTATTGCTTTTTCCAATGGGGGAAACTTTTTTTCAGCATATTAATAGGAAATATAATGTAACTTTAGTGACCTCCTGGTTTGATTTAGTTTAACAAAACCATGTTTAAAAGTTATTGTTACAGTAAGCATCCCTATGCTGGGAACAGATTTGCACAAGCAATAGTCCAGCCGTTTTTTGGACACAATAAAGAATAATGTGTCCAAAAAACGAATTTTCTGGAATCATCAGCACTCTAAAATAACATTAACAGGACCCCATAGTACCCTGATTGATTAATAAAATATATACGGTAACATGGCTTGACTATCTAAACATTTTCTTTTTTTCTGTCAAAAGCTAAAATAATCACTCTAACCATTTAAATACATAAACAAATCAATGTTGTTTGTTACCAGTGAATATTAAAATAACTATAATTGAATTTAGAGAGAAAGCAGGTGTCTTGCAAAGTAGAATGAATCAAGGTATGCTTCAATAAACAAACTGCATGTGTCTAATGGAAAAGGTTTCTTATCAAATAAATACTGGTGTTTAAATCCAGATCTCCACCAGTGGTTCACACAAGATTAGAACAAAAACCTTTTAACGGAGAGATGGGAAAATTACTAAAGGAAGTCATTATCGGACTAAATTAACAGTTTTTTTACAGTTTTGGTGATAATTGCAGACCACTTGGTTATTTCTACATAATTGTATTGTTGTTGTGATGTGTTTCAGATCTCAGTAATTGCTTCGGTCAAAAACACGATGTTAAGAAAAAACAGGCGGATTGTCACAAGACGCAACATTACTTTAAAAAAGAAAAAAAGAAGAAAAAAAAAACAGTGGAAATTTCAAGACTGTGTGTCTACAATTATGAATGGATAATGAGAAACAATAGAAAGTCGACTGCTTTCTGTGGTCTATTAGTATGATTATAGTAAGGGTTTTTTAATTATAATTTTCATCTGTTGTGTGCCTGTATTGTCAGTACAACAAATAAAGGGTAATTTGGAGAAAGAGGTTGTGTTGTTTTTGTTTTTTATTTTTTCCCCCACCTTGGTGCTTTGAATCTGCAAACTTCCATGCTCCAGCAGTGAAAAGCGAGGGTCTTTTCCCAGCAGACTGGCTCCGTTCTTCCTCCAGGTCACCGTGGGCTCGGGGTCTCCTGACGCCTGGCACTTGAGGACGGTCGCTCCCCCCAGCGCCTGCGTCTGATTGGACGGTCCTTGTCTGATTATAGGAGGGGGGCGGTCCTTGAGCGCTGTGAAGAGTTACGAAACAGCATTAAAAACTTTGCTCGGGGCTTGTAATTATGACGCCTGCTTAATACGATAAAACCCTGTCTTTTTGGGTGTGAATAGATGTGGGTAGATTTGCGAAAAAAAAATAAAATCGTGACCTTTTGGGGAGGTGTTAATTGTGATAGCAGCCGCCCAAGATGTTGGACGTCAATCCGGTGAAAGGAATTGAGCGTTGTGCTAGGCTTTTGCATGGTAGGGTAGTCGTGCTCATGGCAGCGCATCACACCTTTGAGCTTTAATTACTGGCTGAGGATTAACGAGGCTTCACCCGTGGTGCTAATTACCATACCTTCTTTATAACACCCCCCCAAAACACATTGAGGCCTAACCACCTCTACTGACTCATGCCTGCACCTTTTTCCAGCTCCTGGCATCTTCCCCCCGGTGCACGGAACTCGAAATTACTAAGCCAAGCAGAACAACAATACATCTACTTTAGAGCACTTTAAACGGTGTTGTATCAACCAGAAAGCAGCCGCCATGCTTGGCAACAGTAATTTTCAGAGTGTTGGATGTCTCGAGGTCTTGTAACTATCTTCCAATTTCCTCACCACTGCTTTGTGTTATCGGGTCTGTCTTGTGTTTACTGCAGGTTCCAACTGCCTTATCCTTGATCGTACCTTCCCCAAGCACAATGTGGGACAAGCCGTACACGCAGACGAGAAGGGAAAAGGGGGTAAGAAGTACAGAGCGGCACGAAGCGGCTGTAAGGATGTGGGGTTGAGGCTAAATTGTTTGCGTTGCTTTGGGGGTGTTATTGTTTTCTTGGGGATGCAAATATGTTCACATACAAGAAAGAGGATAGCATTGTGGTGATGGGTGAAAATGCACTTTAAATCCAGCTGCATAAGATTCCTGACACTAAAAAATGTCTGTTCGTTATTTGTTTTTATTCATTACATTAATAACGGAAACGGTAATTTCAGCCTCAAACCAGTGGATCAGACTAGGTACATTTTATACAGATTTTTTTTTTTACATTAAAATTATGCTAAAAGACACTTTTAATTCGCTACTGTAGCCACAAAGCAATATTGGGAAAGCCGTTTTAATAGTTACCAATTGTTTCTAATTAAAGAAGCAGTTGCAAAATAAATCTTGCAAGAAGGAACTCAAATTGCCTTGTAGATGCTGTGTTCTTAATCAAAATTTATTTGTAAGAAATACCTTCTCTCTTTTGTTTTCAAGAAAATATTGCCAAATAGAAAGCCATTCTCAAGTATAAATTGTCCCTCTTTGCTGCCAACTTCCTATCACTTTCCTCCATTCCCCCATTCATCCCATCTACATAAACTATTTTAATATTGATCCATCATTTTTCAATGGAAAAACAACTGTCATTACGTTGCAAAATCACTTCAACAGATGTTAATTTAATAATGTTTGCGAGGAAAAAAGCCAAGTAACAGACGCCAAGGAAACATAAACATTTCTCAGCTGGCAGTTACTTGGCTCTTAATACCTGCATTAAATCTCTGTCAAAGAAGTGTAAAGTGTCCATCCATTAAGTAGACGGACTACAGTCTATTCAGGCCACTCAGCATTACCTCAGTCAGTCAGGTGATAAAGGAAAGGATGATTGTGGCTTGTTGTCTCTAAAGACGGTGCGATACAAGTCTGTATGCGTGGGAGTATGGGCTGATGAAAAAAGCCCTTGGTGCATTGAAGGTGAATGATTGAATGATTTTTGAATCAGCTTGTATTTGTATGTGTGTGTGCGTGTGCTTGTGTGTGTGTTTAAATACCCAAGAGTGCGAAGAAAATAATAATGAAGTTATTTTCCGTGTTTCTGTATTTTTTATAATAGTTTCTCTATCTTGGATTTCTTGTGTGGTCATAGGAGCATGTGAAAGCCTGATCTCACCAGATCTGAGAAGCTAAGCAAGACACAGTGGGTGAAGCATGTCCAACTGTTGTTGTGTCCTCAGGAATGCTTGCTTTTAGGGGGAGAGGAAATACACATGTGTGTGTTTGTTTGTTAGTTAGTAGGCAGTGTAACACAAAAGGCTACAGGGGAATTTAGACCAAATGTTCAGGAAACCTCTGAAGAATCCAATCACTATCTGGATACAGGAATGATTAGGAATGTTCATCAATCTATCTTCTTCCCCTTAATCCATTTCTGGGTCGGGGGGAGTGGCAGTCAGAGCTGCACCCAATTCACAGAGCACCAGCCTCTCACTGATCCTCCTGCAGGTGGTGAGTCCACAGGAGGAGGCTGCTCTGTTGATGAGAGCACAGCCTTGATCTTTCAGTGTTGGCTTCAGGCAGAGTGGGGTTAAGTGTCTTGCCCAAGGACACAACGACAGCAGACGCCAGTGGGAGTCGGTGCGGAAAGGCTCGTCCTTCCTGTTCAGGAATTTTTTGCGACCAAATCTCCCTAGCCAGTATGGGAGGAGCAAAACCAAGAGTAGCAATCTGATTACTTTTTGATGAAAAAAGTAGGAATCAGAAATAAAATTACTTTTCCAGAGTAACTTGACTCACACTGGTAAACAACTCGTGCAACATCACACAATCAAACAAAAGCAGTCAATCCAAGAGGCGCGCATACTCCCATACTCCCAAATTTGATCCGGATCACCTCCAAAATGTAAGGTAATCATTTGTTTTGCACAAATCCATTCACCTTTTGAGTAATCATGCTTACTAACTAACAGACACACACACCTTGGTGATTACATTACTATGTGGAATGTTCATAAATGCCACAGTAAATTTTTCAAACAGATGAAACATATAATACCTGTTCAACTTTATGTATGAGCTGTGCATTCAGGCCTTGGCTTAAGTGTTCATTCTGACACTGTCAAGCACAGCTTCAGGCTTAATGCAACTTATTGAAGCATAATTACCCTATCACTTTAGCTGCTGTTAAATTACCCACATGTAATGAACTGGATCTCATTTTAAAAGCTCTTAACAAACATTTTCCAGTGTGTTTGGGTGGAAGTGGGAGGAGACCTACCGTCTGCTACTTCCAGCTGGGCCTTTGCCATGATGCTGCCAGCCACAGTGAGGGCCTGGCAGATGTAGTAACCTGCATCGGAGCGCTGCACCGAGGAGATGGTGAGCTCTCCACTCACAGACACAGACACGCGGCTGTCCCCCTGCGTCGACTGGTTAGGGAACAGAAGGTCCTGTGGGGGAGGGGATCAGGCAGCAGCATATTAGCAGTCAAAGCAAATGCACAACTGGCAATAGGAAGCAGTATGGGACTTAATAATTGCAGCAATACAACAGAATGGTGCTAGCTAATTTATTGTTGTGGTCTTTTATTGGTTAACCACCGTTCAGAAAATCTATATGATATTGTATATATTTTTAAGGCAATACTGCATATTTTTCAGAATCCCACATATTTCTATGGACCAGTCAAGGCTGTCAGTCCAAATGCTTTGTTCTCTAATAGTCTTTTTTTCCACTAAGTGCTTTAACGAGCAAATGTCCATCAAAATGTTTTACATTTGATGTAATTTATTCCACCCTGCAATTTAAACGTACATTTCCTTTCTTCTGAGAAGAAACGGGTGGCTGGCTTCGTTAATAAATGCTGCTGAGCCACATGACCTAACCCTGTTAAAACTGATAAGCCCCACCTCCTGGTAGATGCATTTAATCGTAGCCAGCATAAGTACAGGGACATGGGGATATGTGGTCAGTAAAGAATATTGTTTTGGAGCACTGAAACATCAAATCCAGTACAGGACATCCAATATTCAGGACACACATGCACCAATCAAATCTAATCTATGTGTGTGTGTGTGCATTTAACTATAAGGGTGTAAGAGCAATTACAAGCACACTTCTCATCTAGTATCTATTAATATATGCAGTTTGGGTCAGTGTCTTCTGCTCCTAATGGTTGGATGGCAGTCTGTGCCTGCAGTGATCACCTGCTGTGATAACCTGGACTTGTGTCAAATTGTAGCATCAGCATTGTTGCTTTTTGCAGCTCGTCCAGACGAGCTAACGGGCAGGACAGCACATTAGACGGCTGTCATTACTTCTAATGAGCCTAATGTTGTTCCTGACATTGTTTCCTGCAAACTAAATTATCTGGTCAGTCTGCTCAGCTGATGAATTGCTACTCCATTATTTGGGTCAGAAGAGGTAAACCTTTATAGCTAAAGGTTTAAATAGTAATAGCTATAGCAAAGCTATAGCTATTACTATTTAAGTGACTTCATGCAACTATGTTTATGGTATTATATACATTATTTAATAACTCCATTAAAAAATAACTTAATATATTCTATTATCATATGATAGATATGATGAGTACAGTTGTAATTCTACTGTATTCAGGCAATGTGCAATACAACTGCAACAGTTAATACATTGGCACTACAGTTAGTGACATCAAAACATGAATGCACTAATGTTGATATAATGCACTACTGTACTGAGGAATACCCCTGGACACAGTCTCCTCACCTGGCTGCCCTCACGCTGCCAGAAGACAGTGGGCTGAGGTTTGCCTTTGGTCTCACAGGGGAACACGGCTGTTCGTCCTTGTGCCACAATCTGGTCTCGCGGTCGCACCACAAACTGAGGCGCTTCTGCAGTTCAAAGTGCACATAAAGCACAAACAAAATAGCAGCAGGAGCACAAACAATACAGTCAAACAGGGAGCTACTGTAGTTGGGAAAGGGACAGTATCTACAGAGGCTAAGACAGGGTCATGCAGGGTGCCCTTCTCAGAAGTGTGCAGTCAGAGCCAGAACTGGGCCTGTCACCTATCCAGAGATATTTTATTTGTAGAAACCGTTCTGGTCCAGCTCTTTCCTGTGTGTATGAAGATGTTTTTTCTTTGAATTTTCCACAGTATGACAATAATGTGATACAATATGAGCATGGACTTCCCTCCAAAAGATCTGTCGTGTCTGGTGGAGTCACCAGCTTGTTTTTATAAAGTTAGTGTATGTGTATTATTTAATCAACCATTATTCAATACAATTATTATGTTTTTTACTGTTATTCCATACAAAATAACTATTGCAAAAAAAACACCAACAGATTCCATGTTTTTTTTTTAAAGAAAAAGAAAAGTACTTCTTAAGGGTTAGGCTGAAGTTTGACACTCAGTTTTTCCTAACCCTATGCAATGCATTTATAACTTTATTATCAAACCGTGGAAAATGATGCATGAAGAAATAACATCTCCATGTGGGCAAAGAGTGAGGGTGACAGACAGACACTGGAATAACTCTATAGTGCGCTGTTATTGTTTGAAGATGTGAAGAAGCTTTGGAGCGCTCTAAGTAAATGTTTACTTTTACTTGTCTGTATTTAACGTACCGTAGATACTAGGTTTATATAATCATCTTTATATTGACAATGCTAATATGATTTGATTTGAACTAAAATTATATCATGGCTCTCAATTAATGAACCCAAATGCAGTATTGACTACACGTCAGCACAATGAACCAATATCATCACTTTATATAACTATGAATTGCAATAATTTCAATATCCAGTCATGGTTGTCAAAAACAATCACGATCCTTCATCAGCATCGATTTGAGATACCATTGCTCAGGCCTAGTTACTCACCCAACCAAGTGTTCTTCCTCCCTCCAATACTACGCTTTGTTAACTACGTCTAGACCCCTTTTTAGACCAGACTGGGGCATGTAGAATGGAAACACGCGGTTACTACGGTTTCCGCGAGGAGGTCAGAAGGTTTGGATAGCGATAATGCATGTGCAACATTAGTTTGATGAATGTGTTTGTGGAATGCAGCGGTCCATGCATGTGTGATCAGGAAGCATAGAACAAAACAGCAGCACATGCACAATGGGGCTCTACTATACTTACCGACAGGGCGAGCTGGTGACACAATTACAATGTGGTGAGAATAACAGAGGCACGGAGACAGGAGCAGAACAGAGGGACAGAGGAAAGAAACCAGAAGAAATGAATGAGATGGAGCTGAGTTTCCATCAATGGCAACTTTAAAGGAGGAGGGGATGAAGCTCCAAGCAGATGATGATGTGGGCGACCTAAAGAGGCTGCCAGAAAATCCCACTGAATAGAATTGATTTGGGACACTTCATAGTAAGTTAAGGGCAGGCTGACTCCCAGTGTAAGGGGCTGTGGACTGTGGATAAGCACAATCTATTTGGTTGCATACAACTCAATAATGGTTTTTGCTTTGAAATCAAGCTCAATCAGTCATGGTTGTAATAGTATACAATGCCAGAAAGACCTCCTATTTTTTCTCTTGCACTCTTCTTTAAGGAATACTTTCAGAGTAAACAACAATTCATAGTGTTAATGCAGAATCCAATGCAGGTCATATGGATACAATCTTGATTTTTTAGCTCAAAATAAGAATGCCAAGATAAATAATGTTGATCCAAAATGTAAATACTGTAATGTTGGATCAACATTCGTTATTTCAGCAACTTCTTACAATATGCACTACCACCACCAATTGTTGGCTTTGCAAGTAGACATTAAAGCCTGCAAAATCTGATCTTGTTAAAAAATAAAATGAAAAACAACGGCACTTCAAATCTGCTTATTTTCTCATTTTGACAAAAATATAACCACAACAGACCAGCACAACCAGTGAGACCCCAAAGTACATGATTTATAATAGTGGGAAAACTGTGTGTGATGTAGCTCAGAAATTATCATATACCGCTCACTAATCCATGATGGGATTAGAGAGGAATAAATCTTGGCACATGTTGAGAATATCTGACAACACGTCACACGTCTGTCTGGCTAAAAGTGGGTGAATCACAAGTTTGATATGAATTGATAGAAGCTGTTGGAGGAGGGCTGAGTATGTGACTCAGAGTCTGTGTCTTGTCCAGAGGAGGCTGTGTGGGGATATGGTCCTGGAGGAGGTAGCAGTGATATGTAGGTTAGTGTGATAGCATCTCCCTGTGACCGAGACAGACGCTGTTTTGACAGGGACGTACCTGAAGTGTCCTCTGTAGTGGACACTGAGCCGGAGCACCTGTCTCCTGTCAGGCCAGTGTAAAACCTAATGACACTGGGCTCAGGCTGCAGAGTGAAACAGCTCCAGTCACACAGATAACTGCACCTACAAGGGCTGTGTAAAGGGGGGGGGAATTCTACTCAAGAGTAAAAGCAATTGAGTTTATCAGTTGGTCCAGATACTGATCAAAAGTACCTCCAGATGTTGAATAAAGTTCACACTGAAAACCAATTCAGCCAGAGCGAGTATTTCTTTGGGTGTAGTAGAAGGACATTTATCCCCAGCCATCTCCGCACAATTTCAAGTTGTTATTGAACCCGAACTGCTACGACTAAAATGTCTTTGCTTTTGTTTCTTTGATAGACTGACTGTATAAGGGGCTGTGAATCTGTTTGGATCGTGTGCACCAGAAATGCGCTTATCAAATTCCCTGCAGGGAATAGTGTGTTTGGAAGGTGTAAGAAAGTGAGGAATTACTCCACACTGCAGAAAACTGTTTAACATCATCTACAGTTTTCAGGTTTTTCAGACAGAAACAATAAGGTTCAAGATATGTAACCAATCACGTATAGCTTCTCAAAACCAATGGGAATTTTATTGAAGTATTGATGTAGTTGATCCACTCAAGAAGCTATCCACAACACCATTTCTATTTACAATATTTCTCTATGTTGCCTGTAGTATATTTACACTGTGGTGTGTTCAAATCCGCACTGCAGTCTCTCTCTGTTTCCATGTATCCATAAAAAATATGAATTCAGAGAAAATGGATTGGAGACAAACTGGCATTGCTCACTGTTACAAACTTAAAAAACAGACAAACCCCCAAGTTGGAACCAGATGGCTGAGTTACACTGTGAACTACGCTTTAGCTACTACATGATTGTTGTCAATTTCTCGCTGGCTATTGTATTGAATAAAATTAACAAGCACAGGTGTTTTCAAAACATTACATCATGAGCCATAAAGTGGGTGATTGCACTTTACTGTAGAATAGGGGAAACTTTAGAACCAGCTTTAGATAGTGATACTAATTCCATAACAGCCAAAATATCCAACAAACTCCAGAATGTCATATAATGTATACATTGATGAAAGATGTATAAGTTAAATGAGTCCAATTTTTGCGCTGAATATGTAAATGCGGATTAGAATGATTGCCGCTTGGATCATGCATTTCCTTTAGAGGCGTTTTGCAGTGTTTTCCTATAGCCTCGTGCCCAGAATCAGATTCCTATACTGTGTGTAAATATAAAATAAGTGTGCAGGCTGGAGAATGAGACCCCCCAAGGAGAGGTCATAACTCAGACGTGGTTGTTCATATCTGTAGCCTGGCTGGATATCTGGGGCAATCAAGTGCATCGTAGTCGCTATATGAAAAGGAAAGCTGAGGTCATTCAGCAGGGGTGCAATAGTCATAAAGCACACAATAAAAGACTGATTGTTCTGCGGACCGATTCCTCACATAAAAAAAGGAGGAGGGAACATTATAAACATTATAAGGAGTTACCCACCTCTTATGGTCAAGTAGGCAGAAGCTTCTAGTTTTCCCACACGGTTTTCCGCCTGACAGGTGAACGTTCCCTGATCACTCACGGATGCCTTTTTTATCCTCAACACAAAATCCTCCTTCTCATATTTGATGTCGTACCTGGTTAACAGACAAGAATCAACAACATCAAGGCAGCGTTTAAAAAAAAAGTTGTTACAAAAGTAAGCAAGAAAATGGTGTCTTCAAAGTGGTATGATTTTGTCTGATTTTTTGGATGGAAGCTTTAATAAAGGTTGTGTCATTTTTGATAGAATAAAGACAGACTTTCTGAAGCAATTAAGGTTCCCTGCAGCACGCTCTCCGCTGTAGAGGCAGAGAAAGGGGAGCAATTATGGCGAGACGAAGGCATGGCAAAATGAAAGGTGCTTTCAACTGGAACTCTGGCTCCTCCACTTTTTCAATATTTATAAAGGCTGCCACCCACTGTTGTGTGGGCTGCTATGAATGTGTGTGGAAGAAATGGGTTAAAGACTGACAAGTTTATGTAAAGACTGAGCTCGGACTATGCTTGACTAACCCCACACAGGTACATTTAAGAAACAACAGGAGGTAGAGTTACCCTTGCTTAATGTATAATGTAATGTAGCTAACCCATTTATACTTTACACAAAAGCTTGTAAACTATGGTCCTCAATTCTATAAAGCATACATATTCATATTCTTGATTCAACAATATAAACACATGGATAGTAGTGCGTTATAACTAATGCATCAATTCAGTTCTATTCAATGTGTTCTTGTATAGCCCTAAATCACAACAGTAGTTATCTCAGCGGACTTTACACAACGGTTGAATTCGCCAACATAGATCAGAGAATCAAACAATTCAAACACAAGAAATAGAATAGAAACCACATTGGTATTGGTCCATATGAGGCAGATGACCAATGCTGTTGAATGAAATGAAAGTGTTGTTGAATGTTGAGTGTCCTGGATGTTCACCACTGTTCTTTTAGTTAGACAGAAGTGCATACAACAGATTCATGCCAGGAAATGTGGGTGAAGTGTCTGGCTGTGCTAAAGTGCTAACCAGTCGCCACACTACGGCGCCTGGAGTTCCCAGAGGACCCCCCATCACAGCACTAGCCAGGTCCTATCCTGCTTATTTTCTAAGATCTGATGAGATCAAGCTTATACATGCAAGTATGCCAACAAAAAAGTTTGCTTAGACAATATTGCAGTGTCTTTTAATCCTACGCAAGTGATTTAACCTCTAAACTTGTTCTACCGAGACACAGACAGATAGACTGAGGGTGTGGCGTCAGCGTTTCACTAACTTCACTTGATGAATGAGCCGAGTGCTGACATGACTAATTCATAAAGAAGTTCCATGTTCAGCAGCACAGCATCACGTACCACTGTGCTGTGAGACTGAGAGAAGAGACAAGCAAATGCCTTATAGGGGGCCACACTCACAGACTAGTTCCAGAGCCCGGCTACTGTCTCTAGGGTCCCTTTGGCTTGAGAGATCCTTGCAAAATTGTGTATCCAGCCATACAGAATCAGAGAAAGTGGAGAGCCAAGTCGGGCAGACAAATGGCACATGGGGTGAGAAAAAGTCATATTGGAGAAAGATGTTGCAAGAATGTGTCGGCAGAATATCGATGAGAGCTTGTTTGGGCCGTCCAGATTCGAGTGAGGACTCCATTCGCACAATGGACATCCTCTGACCCACATACGGGACATCCCAAGAGGCTAACAGGTTTAGGGGAGGAATGAAAGAAAGAAGTGGAAAGAAATGGCAAGTGATGCGAGGCAGAGGCTTAAGGGCAAAAGTAGGACATGTTGCTCCAGCCAAGGGGAGGGAGGACTGTCTGGATGAAACCTAACTCTACATTTTAAAGCATGACACATTGAAATCCAAATAGGTTGTAACAGCTGCTCGGAAAAAAATGCAGCATAAGTAAATGGGTGTTAAAAGGTCTCTAAACAGTCCTTGGACGCACAGTAGTTTGCTGGTTAGATTGATAGCCTTGATCAATTTGATTTGCTTGATGAATTCGCTTGACACACTTCCAATAGTTGAGCACAATATATAATTAGTTTTCCACGAGAGCTGCCAAATTGTGCAGCATTGAATAGAGAGCCAGGGGTGCTCGGAAACTATGCGCCTAAGGTATTAGCTCACACTGACTGTTATTATGGAAATGTACGGCAGGTAAAGGTTAAGTTTGATATTATTTTGGTGAAATACCAAACGAGGAAATGCATTACAGTTGTCATTGTGGTAGTATATTGTAAGAGTGGATGCTTTGGATTTACTTTTAGGCAATTATTCGGGTATGTTATGTGTAACAGACACAATGTAGAGCCCTAAAACTTTATAAGAGATAGAGGAGACAAATAAAATCATTCAATAACATAATTTAATACAATAATATACGAGAAATGTAGGGAATCATTTGCGAGAAACCAGGTCACTGTATAGAGTTCACTGGATCCTGTAGCTCATATCAATTCTTCTACTTTGGCGACTAAAGCATTAACTCACATTTATTAATTATAGGCTTTTTATTGTTAAATATGTTAAACAAAAAACTGTTAGTTGTCTGACTAGAAATATAGTATGAATTTAGTAGAACCAATTATAAACTTATAACATTTTACCCCATGCAGTAATGTATATAGTGTCTATTAATCTGCCCACGCTAATGCACCTTCATCAGGACGTTTTTTAAATAATCTGCTAATGCTTTGAAAAATTAAGCATACTGGCAGGGCAATTAACTTGCACTCACGATATGGGCACCTGGGAGTGGCCACATTACTGGCACCCTGCCTTGGTGTATTAATAACCTTAAACATAACTGAACAGCTATTCCACCTTAGAGCTTTCCAAAAGAGACATCTTAGTTAAGCTCTTTTTACACTAGGGTTGTTTTCCAAAATGTGCACTTATACCAAGCGGTGTATGTTCCCAACTGGACCCAAACCATAAAGTTCACTTCAAAGCACTGACTGAGGCTTCTCGATGCTCTTGAGTAGCATTAAAAAACAATACAGCATTAACTAGATTAAAGAGGGAAATACGGTCTGATTATCACAATTAAAAAGTCTGAGCTAATGAGAAATATGCATATAATATACATATAATAAATAAATATAATAAATAATAATATAATAAACATATATGTTTATTTATTATCATTATTATTATTATTGTCTTTGTGTTCTGTTTGTTCTGTTTGGTACAACTGTACTTTTGATTTATTTTGTGTAGAATGTTGATGTGTTAATAATAATATTATCATCTAATAGCGGTGCTGATAGAAAGAGTTGTTCACCTGCCACGGGGAATGTCCACATCGTCTTTCTTCCAGCGCAGTGTAGGAGGTGGATCTCCGTGGACCTGACACCTGAACTCCACAGTCTCATCCACCAACACCACCTGGTTCACGGGCCGCTGTGCAAACATTGGTCTCTCTGGATGAGGAAACAACATAACCAAAGATTTGCATACAAAAGACGCAAATATTCCAATCATGAATTGTTTGGAAGGAAGACAATGTTCTTACCAAAAACAGAGATCTGGGCCTTTTCGCTTTCTCTCTCCCCAACCATATTAGCAGCTACACAGACATAAACTCCCGCATCTGATTTCTTGGCATTGACAATGGTCAGTTTCCCACTACGGACCTGAAAAATGGACAATAGCATTATTTGCTATTTGCACATTACCTATAATTTTGTTTGTGTAAGCCAGGGGTCACCAACCTTTTTGAAACCAAGAGCTACTTCTCCGGTACTGATTAATGCGAAGGGCTACCAGTTTGTTACACAATTACATAAATTGCCAGAAAAAGCCAATTTGCTCAATTTACTTTTAACTCTGTTCATATTAATAATTAATGATATTTATCTTTGTGGAAACACTGATCATCTTAACGATTTCTCACAATAAATATATATAGAAACAGATAAATATCAATATGCAACATTTTTCAAATTGAACATTTTCAAACGATCACTTCTTGTGAAATCACAATATCCCATTTTAACCAACTAGCCACTAACATTTTTTAACAAATCATGAATAACTTTGCACCATGTTTATACAAATAATAACTCATGTAAAATACAACAGTCAACTCTCGTCACACGTGATGGTGATCTCACAGGAGTTTAGAAACCAAAGCAGTCCCATTTACGCTGCTACTTTCTCCTCTTCAGAACAAAAACAACAGTGAAGCTGTTTGAGATCATTACATGTGTTTCTACTGTAGGTTTTTGTGACAGTTCTAAACTCATCGTTTCAACTCATTTAACTCTGATGTTGTGAATAAAGACACAGTTCTTGTTGGAAACATAGTTATTATTAAAGTGTATTCAGCACAAACAGATAATCAATAAGTGGTAAATATCTGAGAAAAACACGAACTATAAGTGCAGTAGGAATGCAACAGACGCGATAAGCTACAACGCAAACAAGACAGGAACAGTGCAAAAGAAACAACTGCACAGTTTATAAGTTATATCAGGCTCTGCCATGAGACCAAACTACTTTTCCTTCGGTTCCTTCGAAGCACAAAGCGGTCTGCTCCGAAGTGCCTCGTCCGTGCTCCCTGCAGCCGCTCCATGCTTCCGTCCAAAACACACACACGAACCAATCACAGCGGAGCTCCTCTCACACACGGACCAATCACAGCGGAGCTTGTCTGCGGCGTTGGCCGCGTAGTATTCGAGGGTGCGTGGCAGGCTACGTAAGGCCTGTTTCACACCGCACGCCGAGCGCAGAGCCGAGCGCCCTTTCCAGCCGAACTACCTCGCGGCGAGCGCATGTATTCAGACTGACGCCGAGCGTGGGCGAAGCGCCTAGACGAGTAGCACGCACAAAAGGAGTAGTATTGTACTCCAAACTAATAAACATGTTGTATATTTACATATGTTGTCTGAAATAACAGGTCAGAAATCAAAATAGCACATGTAGACCTTAAATAAATTGCTAACATTTCCTTATAATGTATCTTATAGCCTATTTTGATTGTCGTTTCATTATCATAGTTAATTATAAGGTGTGGGGAAGGCCTGGATCTCCATGGGGGTTAAGGTTAGGTGTGGGGGCGGCCTGGATCTCCATGTGGGTTAAGGTTAGGTTATATTATATATATATATATATATATATATATATATATATATATATATATATATATATATATATATATTTATATATATATATATATATATATATATATAATATATATGTTACAATTATATTTTATGCATAAAAAAACATGGAAAATTGTGTAATTAAAAGAATAAAGTTATATGTACTTATGCATTACAATAATGAGATTAGATAAACGTGAAATTGCTTTATAAAAGTTATTTTTTGAATGTTTTCGTGCTGAAAGCCGCTTCGCTGCGCAGCCTACACGCGGAAAAAATGCGCTCGAGTTCCATTTTTGGTTTCAGGAGCGGAGGCGGCAGCGGCGCGCGCCGATTCCCTGCGCGCCGCCTCAGCGCCGGTCTGTACACAGAAGAGCTTTCTCATTTGCACAACAGGACGCGACTTGAAGCGCAGCTTGCGAATGCACGCGAGCGGGTTTCGAAGACGAATTCGTTCACGAATTCGTGTGCGGTGTGAAACAGGCCTAAGGGCCTTGATGTGATCCACGCGTTGCGCAAGTGACGTCACGTCACCTCCGTAAGCTCCGCGCAGCGCACTAGGCTTGAGTGCTACTATTTGAGCTATTTTTAGAACAGGCCAGCGGGCGACTCATCTGGTCCTTACGGGCGACCTGGTGCCCGCGGGCACCGCGTTGGTGACCCCTGGTGTAAGCCCTCAGTCGTACAGAGATTAGTCAAAGCAAAGGAAGGTTTCTCACCCATCATCTGTACTTCTTAGCAAGTTTTCCCGACGTTTCGTCCTCAAACCAGCGGACTTCTTCAGTCCCGCGTGTTGGAGATTTATAACCTATGGGAGTGGTTAGCCACTCCCATAGGTTATAAATCTCCAACGCGCGGTCTGAGAATTCATTCCCTGAAGAAGTCCGCTGGTTTGAGGACGAAACGTCGGGAAAACTTGCTAAGAACTACAGATGATGGGTGAGAAACCTTCCTTTGCCATTACCTATAATGCTTTGTGCTTTGGGAGGTCTCGAAAATGGCTGTAGAGCTTGGTAAAAAAGTCGGCTCTTGGCACAAAGCTAAGTTCCAGATGTGTGTCAATGCTTTTTATGGACCAGCCTAGTTTAGCCGCTGTGGACTTCGTTAAATGAATGGCATGTGTCAAGCTCGTGCATGGCTAACACATGCACACACGCGTTTTTTCACCATTTTCCTGCAGGAGGGGCCACTCGCGGCCATATTGAAAACGTCGGCAGGAAGGAAGAGTGATCACACATAAGTTTCAATGGCGGACAGAGGTGTCACTAAGTCTATCAATATTTACAGTCTATGAGATAAATGTGTCGTGTCTTAATAAAGTTTGATCTTATTTTGCAAAACTGTAGGTTCAATATTGGAGCAATTTTGAGCACAGGAAAAGTATATTTTTCACATTCTTTACAAAAAGTTTTACTCACAATCAAAACCATCGCAGAAGTTATCTAGAAAAGTATTAAACATCCCTCTCTTAGAAAAAAAAAGTTCACGCTACACGACCAAGCAGTAGGTGAAAAGCTAAACTCTGAGTGGCATTCTTCAAACATTAAATGCAGTTAAAACTCACAGTGATTCTGTCATCTTTGAGGTCCACTCGGCTCTTGTCTTTCCTCCAGAAGGTGGTGGGTTCAGGGTGTCCTCTAGGCGACTGACATTCCAAACTCACAGTTTCGCCAACCGCCACCACCGTGTCCTGTGGGTTCTGTCTGAAGTCATCTCTCAGCACTGCAAGACACAGATAAGAGAGTTCCATTTACAACTTGAGTCGCCACACTCTCCATCATTTTATTGGTTGAAAGTTTCATGTTGTTTCGGCACAGCCATTATGCGACTGAGTGTTCTCCATCCAACGACCTTTCCCACCGTTTCATAATGCAAGGGGTCCTTCCAGACATAATTCTATCAGAGGATTGCCACACAGGGCTCCCAGCAATCTCGCAGTCTTTAATAAAACACACAGATCCCTCAGGGTCTGATACTGGTGGCACAGGCTCAGATCATAGTGGTTGCATTTAAGAGACAGGAGAGACCAGGAGAGATGCAGTCAAATGTATTACTATAAAGATAAATGGCTACAAAGTACTACTGTAAAATATACATTGACTATTTCTGTACTACAAGGCAAGGCAAGACAAGTTTATCCGTATAGCACAATTAATACACAAGGCAACTCAAAGGGCTGACACGTGATTATCAGGTGATTATCTGTCAAATATTTAGGAGGGTACTACAAGGCTACATGCATATACATTCAGAATGAAAATACACAAGACTAAAGAATGTAGAACTGTCGTACTAATTTTCATATTTCATTATATTAGATTCATCTCCCGCCTGTGTGTGTGTGTTTGTTTGTATTTTTAATTTTTTTTTTAATTTTAAAATAATGAAACAAAAATGTTATATATAAAAGTACAATGAACTATATAATTATGCACTCTCTAAAGGTAGCTGTAGTTTGTATAAATACATGAAGAAAAACTCTTAAATAAATGAATGAAACGGTTATAGAAAGGACATAACCAGACATAACAATGCTTTCCGACATAAAAACTAGTTGCTCTCTGCAGTAAATTGCCCAGTGTGTATTGCCAAAGCCATTACGATGTGGGCAGGAGGGGGCCTATCTTTGACTGCAGTGACTCATTAGCTGATGGTTGGTTTCCGCACTATATTTTACCCATAACCATTTCCCGATGCACAGTGAAACTACATGGTGTCATCTGGTTGACTTTGAAAGTGTGCTAAGACCAAGCTGGCCATTTGCCCAGCCGTTTGATGAACCGCTGTCAGAGATGTGTCACGCAGCGTGTAATCACCCTTTGGGGGACCCGGATATGAATAAGAGCAACACAGGCAATATTTGTGTCATTTTGAGCAGTTCCCTCCACCGCTTACTGCACCGCAGGTCAGGGGTTTGTCGGCCAAAAAGCAACATGTCAACAGCTAATTAGCCGCGACACAAAAGGTTAAGCTACTCCAGATAGGACCCCATGCATGTGGCACACAGTAGTCATTAGCCAGGTTAGTCTTTGCTTTTGTTGTGTGTTTCTTACTGGGCTTTACTGAAATTGAAGTTATTTTTTGGTCTTCAATAACTCATGAACAATGCATTTGTTCACTTTGGTATTGAGAAATCAGAACATTAGGACCAATAGTTTCCTAGTAAAAGGCTGAAGTTATTTAAAATGACTGGAATATCAGTAAGTAAAACCAAATTTGATCACAAACATTATTATAACATTATTGCTCTCACAAACACTTTTGTACAAAGTACCTTTTTCACAGGTTAAGCATTTGGTTGCTCATCTTAAAAGGACGAGAACACATCCTCCATAGCAGTACTCTTGTTAAAATGTGTTTTGTTCTTAACAGTTACAAATGACAGAATATCATGTCAATTCAAAGATTGCTTTACTAATGAAGTAATATTTTATTGCACATTGTGTAGCTTATGAAATCCAAAGGGAGGAGTAGCCCAAAGTTACAGCTATTTCTTACCAACTGAGTGAGAAGAAGACATTATCGTATATTATCAAGAACTACACATCTCCTCGGTTTTAGATGAGATTTTATCATGTAAATAGGAGTATTTCAAGTTTTCTGTTGGGCCTTGAGCCAGCTAAGGACTTCGTTCATTCAACTCTGTATTTCACAAGGTTGCTTCAGTACACGTTCAAATCGGCAGAAAAACAAGCAAAGAATGGGTGAATCAGAGACTGCGCTGTGGGAGAACAGGTGCAAGGTCTCTTTACCAACACAGGTCTAATCCAGTTTCACAATATCTAATCAACTACTGCACATGCCAGTGTAATGTTCGTGGGTGAAAGTGACTCATTGGATGAAATGATGGCTCGTGGTCCACTTTACTTTGAGAGCAATCCAATGACAGGCTGTAAGGGGTATGAAAAAGAAGTGGCTTGAAAATGTAACATAGACTTACAAAGATATGCAAAATGCCGCATTTGTTTAATACTTTTTTTTTTGCCACAGGTGACAACATCTATAGTCATAGGTCATAGCAAATATATAAATATATACTAGTATGCAATGTCACTGTCACTGTTCTGAATCAATGGGAGAAAGGCATTTATGTGATCAAAGGGGCAGACACATCAAGAAATAACAATTGAAAAAACAAATACATAAATAAAAAAAAAAAGTTACAAAAAAAACCTTTAAGACACATGGTGCTGCTGGATCTACACTTAAAACAGCGCACTGATTCTGTCACGACTGTTATACCAAATATAAATTCAACAAGAGACGGGCTGCGTTTAAAACAGAAAAGGGAGTGAAGATAACATGAGCAACCACAGAAATTACAGATGAAAAAGATGAAAACACTCATTCTTCAAACAACCTTCATCACATTTTGGTTTATAATTATAATGTGAGAGATTTTGACTAATAGATGAAGAGGATAATTAAAACTTAAAACCCGTTGCCAAAAGCGAACGGTACGATAATACTTTGGAATATACGTGAATGTCAGTTATTTTTTAAGTTGTGAAGAGAGACACTTTTAAAACGTCAGTGTAGGATAGACCCGCCCATGCTAACCCTCACAGCCGCCTGATTGGACAATATCCTTGCCATTGGTCGAACTATTCTGCTTCAGAAAATATGACTGGTTTTGCCCAGAGGAGACTGTTTGAAATTACTTTTGAAAAATGTACATGTTAAGCTACTGACATCGCCTTTAAGATATCATTCAATAATTTGAAAGGGAGAAAAATAAACAAAGTATGTGATTCAATATTTCATTTAATCACATACTTTGTTTATTTTTCTTTGATTTTATATTTTTCAGAATCCCATGAGAGTTAAGGCCCCGGAAAGAGGAGAGCTATTGTTCTATGTTTTTAGTGGTAGGGGAGGCTGGAGCACCTGGAGAAAACCTACACGGACATGGAGAGAACATGCAAACTCCATGCGGAAAGGCCCTGTCTGGAGGAGGAATTGAACCCAGGACCTTCTTGCTGAGAAATGAAAATGCTAACCTATTTCAAATACAATTCCCTTAAAGCACATGTAACCCAATTAGCCTAGTCAATGCAGTAGAGTACAGCAAATTAACATAATTGCCAATTAATGTGAATTAGTGTCTTAATCATAGACTGTAAATACGTCTTAATACATGCAATATTAGCCTGTCCTTATGAGTGTTTTCATTACACTTTTGACAGGGAATGATGAACCACTCAGTCAAACCGCCATACAGGGAAAGTCCTGAGTTTACAGTACACTTTTGGCGCTCATTATGGCCACAAGCTGTTCTGCTGATACCCTAATATATATTCAGACCCAGGGGACGCCGCGAGTGGGGAGACAGCCAGGGGCCCTGTAGCTCAGCTGTCAATCACAAGTGTGGAGCATCCGCCTGTGTGGCACGTGCACGGAGGGCTGCACGAGCATGGGACTCTTACTGATCCACTCATTCACTCATCAATGCACATTATATTTAGCAATCGAGAGAGAGAGATAGAGAAAGCCAAAACAGGAAGTACATGTCAAGTGTGCAGCCAATTATACACGTTTCTGAAAAGTGGAGAAAAGACGATGCGGATCGTTAAACTCCGCCGAGAGCTTCAAAGAACACTCTCGGTATAGAATATTGAATAGAGCAAAAAATTATAGGGCCATGTTTCTCCAACAGGCAGCGGAGGTGTAAAAGTAGACTTCATTAGTCTGAGTGTCGAATCATGCTCAACGTTAAAACAGGTCACCCAATGTTTTTAGTGCTTGGGAAATAATAATATTATGCATATTTATTTACAAGCTAAAAGTAAATCACTTGCACACTTTGAAATGAATGACAATCTGTAAAATATCTAGGGGGGGGAGAGTTTGGGACACATATACATACAATATTACATCATGTTATGCATGTAAAAGCTATGGTGCAATGGAACAAGAAAATATCTTCTTCTGGTCCAGCAACAAACTGGTGCTGGACCAGATACAAGACTATGTGCTGACTCTGTTATTCACACAGCCCACCAGCGGACACTTTTGGCTACAAATAAATTATTGCTAAATCTGGAAACACTTATATACAATTTAGTAATACATCCTACATCCTGTATCCTAATACATCCAAATAATTTAATCTCCATCCACGCTAAGCTCAGGACCTTGTGGCACTCTCTACCTCCGTCCATTTTGTCTTAAGCAGGGATGTCCAAACTTTTTAGTAAGAGGGCAACATAACCAGACCAGGGGCCGACAACCCAGATTATAAAACTTTTTGAGCTGATATGACAGCAATGACGTCTACTAGTGTTAGCGATCTCATTACAACTACACTAGTGCATATTAAAAGATTATCCAATACAAACAACAAATGCCTGGATATACATTGAAATATGCCTGTATTGGAGGATCTGAAGTTGGCTGGATGACACTATGAATTTGTATTTATGTGTTAGCGAGGCAGAGGGCCACATTAGAACATGCCTGGTCTAAAGTCTCTTGGCTCAACACTGGCACGCTATGACAACTGCTGAGAGCTGTTTCTGCCTTCTAACAACAACAAACCTCCAAATTAGTTTAGGCAATTTCTGTGACGATATTTGTGCTGTATATATTTATCCATAATCTATACTCGAGAAATGATTTAAAATTCTAAAACATGACTGAAGAATTTACAGTATATATTTTTAACGCTATTTATTATTGTAATCCTTTGTGTGATTTTAATGTTTTAATGTTTTTTAATTACCTGTGTGATTTTAATTGTATTTTTAATGG